GGCTCTTCCTCCACCATCATGTGAACTGTGAACAAAACTCGTCATCATGCACACCAACGAATACAAACATTGACACATATATTCTAATGATTTCTATGACACCTTCAACAGTTTCCCATAGTTCCTTCGTTTCTTTCCTTTTTTTGCCATATTTAAACGCGCAAAAATTCATGTACAATAGGATTAAGGAATGTAGAAGCGAAATCAACGTTCTCCGCTCTTTCAAACTTGAAAAATATTTCCAGACATAATTAGATGCACTGGATACTTTTAATTCTTTTTTAATATTATACAAAAGATTAATTAAAATTTTCCTTGCAAAAAAATGAAGGAAACAAAATTAATAAAAGCAAATTAAAGAATAAAAAATCCCTTTTTCTACTTCTACATTTCTCAATTCCAGGCACGTTTTGATTTTTGTTAAACAAGAAGATGTGTAGACATAGACAAATCCTACCTAAGTTTTCTGTCTAAAATACATGCTGAGAAAACAAATATACATTGTTTGCTTTTATATGAGCCGAACATATGTATCTTTCTTAAAATTATATAGCTTTAAGCAAGCACTATTACTTGTTTAATTAATCTTATGTATAATCTATCATCTCCTCTATTAATTAAAAGTTTGCTTCTTCTAAAAAAAATCTCTAAAAATATAAATGTATTACATTGTACAAATTTGTTCAACTAATAGTATTATATATAATGTGTTTTGAACTTTTTTCTCGCAATGATTTAAAATCCAAGCAGCAGGCAGAAAAACATGCAAAAAATAATTCTGATATACAATATCCTGCAAAAATAAAAGACAAAAACCTATGCACTTTTATAAAAAAAATAACTCGCAATTTATGTTGATATTGTAATACTCAAAAAAGAACTTACTCAAAAAAGAACTTTAAACAGAGTAAAACTTTAAATAGAGTATTAATTTTTTTTATAAAATTATAATTATAATTTTTTATAAAAAAAATTTAAGAAAGAAAGAGAGAAGTGTCTTTATCAATGATCTGATAAGCATACTTTACTATTACTATTAGTTTTAACTACAAGCCGATTCTTAAAATAATAATCAGTCCATATAATATTATTCATTTTACATCGATTAAAGCTAAGAAGAATGCTTGTAATTTATAATACGCCAACTTTTGATATATAAATTTTGAGCATCTGTTCTTTTTTATTTCTTATCAAAAAAGGATTTAATTAGTCTATTTAAATCCTAGCAAATTATACATTAATTTTATTCTACAAATGTATAGATATATTAAAGTTTATTTTGAGATTAGCACATGCAGATGACAATTCGAAACCATGCAAGAAGTTACAGTTCATAACATGCATAAAATACAATCTGAACAATATATTGGCACATAATAAGTTTATAAATATAAGGATGAATTTCCATTATATTATATAAAATATATATATTAATTCTAACACAATTTTCCTTCTCCTCTCTCATATACAATGATAATCATATTACTTTCATGTTATATTTGCAGCGAATTTTGCATAGCAACAAACTAAAGCATAAACATGCATATTATCATCTGCGTAATATTCTAAATAATTATTTTGTTATTACTAACTGTATTTCTTTAAAAAATCCAATGCACCACAATGTACAAAATTTCTCACTATTGGTACATTTTCTTCCGATAAATCTATTTCTTTCTTTTTATAAACACAATTTTTATTGGATATTACAATAAGCACAAAATCAATATTAAATTTTTTTAATGATTTGAATAAATTAATTTTTTTCAAAAAAGCTTCTCTTGATAAGATCGGTTAAATTAGAATGAAAAATAATACTTTGTAATAATAAACTGATTTATCCAGAAAATATAATACAGTTCTCAAAAAGAATTTGAAATATAGTACAATTCGATAAGATTACATTTCATTTACACATAATGTAACACTTACATGTACAGCATTTACATGTACTGTCTTTAAAGAAACATAATTAGAAATAGAATAATTTTACTTTATCTATTTATAGCAATAATCAATTCCCTTCAATTACGGAATTGTTATTAATATACAAAATATGTTATTAATATAGAAATAACAAAAGAATTCTATATATCATTTTGAAAAAAGTTATCGCAGTTAAGATATCTGGTCAATATGAAAACTGTCTTTTTGTTATACTTTACTTTCCTACGTCAACATTTCTTCAGGAATATATAATACAATAGAAAATTATAAACATCACTTCCTATCATACATCAAGATTTTGCTTTTTATATTTAACTCTGTTAGAGAAATGATTAATTAATCATTATTTATGAAAGAACTTTAAATTAGCAAAATTAAAAGTGTAATATAATATACAAATAAGAGTTAAGCATGTATCTGCCATTTGCTTGTAACGTTTCATATAAAATACGTAGAAGTATATTTAAAATACGCTTCTCACAGAATATATATGATACTTATGTAAAGACTTTCTTAATAAGTATTCGTCTTAATTGTATCTATTGTCACATCTATTGACGTAGAAGTAAACAAACATATCTAGTGTAAAGTCGAAACTGTCTTTAGTCTCTTTATGTTCTAACATGTCTCACATATTTTAATTTATCATATCTTCGTTAAAAATGTTCTTTGTTATCAAATACACGGACACACGCATAAAAGCAGAAATAGAAAACGTTCACGACGCATTCCATATTTTCATACAATCGAAAACTATACATTTCAAAATGAAATTCACATAATTTGTTATAGACATGTCATAGATATCATACAAATTTTTTTTACAAGCTTTACAAAGCTTTAACAAATAAAATATAAATACGTATATATCAAACAACTTACTAATTCAAATTTTGAAAAAAAAAGAAAAGAAAAGAAAAAAAAATTTTGTCAAAAACATTATCAACGAATTGCTAACAATAAGTTATGAAAGAATAATAATCAAATCAAATAATCAAATAAACAAATTTTATTAAAAATCATAACTCATTAAATGAGTATTTAGAAAGCAATTTTAGATATTAATTGTCGAGAAACTTACTTCTTTACAAATGATGAGATTTTTGATCTTGCCATATTTGATGTATATGTAATCTTTATTATATTATTATAATAAACGTCCTATGAACGAGATATATCAGAATCAGACACACCGAAAACAAAGATTTAAAAGTTTAATGCAATTCATATCAAACTTATAACATTCTTATACAGACTTATGTATCTCATGTGCCTCTCGTCTCGAACACTCTGAATTCTAATTTATCATTTTCTTTTGTTATAAGTATGGAGCAAGTACCGTTTTTATTATACGATCCGGTGGCACTCTCTTGCTTTGATATACGGTATGTTTTACTAAAAATTTGTAATAATCGCTAATCAATTCAACTAATGATTTCTGCACACAGAACGTGGTACACAATGTTTGCCGCGCGAAAGAAGTTAACGCGATAGTCAATCGTTTTTTCGCTTTTATGGAAGTGATAAATTAATTGATTATCGCGTCAACTTCCGCAAGGCTACAAGCGCATTGTTGCATTCTATATGCAGAAGTCATAAAACTTTAATTATAAGTTATTAATTTTCTATAAATTCTTATAGTTTGAAACGACAAGTTCATAAATTACAAACGTGATAATAAATGAGCTGTACTATTCGAACTATGTACACAGAATTCGACAAGCGTTTTTACTTTGTTACATCATGATTTCTTTATACACGAATCATACAGAGCATTCATTATCACCAGGCAATCCTAATGATGTTTCTTATGCAATCTGTTACGTTGTGACCTATTAGTACCATTTTTCTCGGTGGCGTTGATCTGGTTAGCGCCTGTGTGATGGTTGCATGGTATCCTGAATAATTTGATCTTCATGTGATCGCAAATTTCAAGACATACTTGAGCACTATACCGGAAGAGATCCAGAGTGACCCAGATCTAAATATATGTGTTTCGTTATTTATCGAAGATTATGTTGTAAAGATGGAGATCAAGCATTGACTTACGAAACACAGCCAAAGAACATAGTATTCTTTGATGAAAAAGTTGAAATATTGATTAAGGAACAGCATAGCTGGACCAATTAATGAACTGTCCAAATATTGCATCTCATTTTTAGTCATATGAGCAACCTGAAAAGCAATGTTATAAAAAATGGATATAATTGATAAATATAGCAATATATTGTCACAAATAAGAAAGAATATTATTACAAATACACAATCAATATACATACCACTAGTCTATTTGTAACTTTGGCCGCCACCATTCCAAACGCAAGTATATACAAGGCTGGGTGGTTTTCGTAGACATGTTCGGCGCTTTTTCTATATATTATAAAAGCCGGTACTACCACAAAACTAAATGGTATAATTGGCGATAAAACGGATGTTCCCTAAAACAAAATAAGTCTTATGCAGAAAGTCTGAAGAAGATATTTAAATAAAGCTACGTGCGGAGATTTATATTTGTAAGAGAAAAAAAGCCCGATTAAGTACAGAGGCCTAATTTGATAGATGTTACATATTTTAAAAATGTATGTTAAAATCTTTTTATATTGTTATTTAAATAATAATAATGATATATGTCAGTTGACGTAAACACATGTCATAAACTTAAGATATATGTATAAATTATTTTATATTCGTAAAACAATTCCTTTAAAAATGTAGAATCACATTAATAGATTTTATAATAGATACAAACATAACTGTTATATACTGCTCTGTGTGTTTGATAGGAAAAATTGCAAATGTGTGAAAAAATAAATATATAATAAGTTCTAAGCAAAGTCTATATTTTAAACATGTAAAAAGAAATTAAAGTTTGATTATTATATTTATTCGAATTGCAATACAGTAAATAAATTATTTTAAATGCATGAGTTGAATGAGTCAGGTAAATCTTTATAAAGTCATTAAGGAACATAATTTTAATTATTATAATTAATAAAATATTAATTTTGTCTGACACATGCAATATATGCTACATTTACATAGATAAAATGTACGTAATAAAATAAAATAAAATTCGCAATATTATGATATAGTAGAACGTCATTAATAATATGCAATTCTATTTTTCTACAGCTTCGTAACATGCGTGTAAGAATTCGGTTTCAAATGAGAATCAGAAATGAAATGAGAACTATTCTATAACTGCAAAATATAAAGGAGAAAGCAAAAAATGAAGGGATATATAATACATGGATTCCTCTGTGGGGAAGTATGTAATAACAAATATTAACATAAGTGAAAACAGTAACAGTGATGAGTAATCTTATACGACGCCGTTAGATTTAGGCCCACCGTTGCGTTTAAAAGAAATAAATAGATCTACGATTATTTATTATTATTATTATTATTATTATTATTACTAATTATTTTTTAGACTATATACAATTTTTTATGTATTAGTAACAAAATTAAAATGCATTATTAATTCGCTACAATAAAGATTTCCCAAGCAAACTCTTTTCTTATCTACGCGACTTGTTCAAAAAGCATGGGCCTAAATCATGAACTAAAAAGAAATCAGACAAAATATTGTGCACTACACAATTGGTCCCACTACTTTTTTCTTCAGCTGACTTACTGCGACGGTGGAGCCATTTTTTCCGACACCACCGGCGAGAATGACGGATATGCTGCTCTGTGCAAGTAAAATAGCGATGCCCACAGCAGCCCATAACGGAAACACCTTCACCTCTGTGCCAGTATATGGCAACTGTATAAGAGCGACACGAAAGATCTTTTGATTAGTCATCAGAGGCTATCCTCGTAATAAAAACTTTCTAACATTTCGTATCCCAGATATGTTAATATGTTAATAAAAGAGTTTATATAAACGTGAAGTCAAAAATTGAGGAATACATTTGTTATTTTTACTTTTGAAACAATTTCATACATTACATTTTAATCACTATTCATAATGTTATCACAAAACTAATAGAACAAATATATTAGGTATGGGAAAAATGGTCGTGGCGTTTTTCCCATTAGATGGCATTAAAAAAATGCCACGAACTTTTTCCCATACCTAATATATACATATACAATATTACGTATTATATAATAAAGTATTATATAATAAATACGTATTATATAATAAACTTTTGTATTGTTTTATATGCATTTAAAACTGAACAATTTTATTGTTTCTCTTTCTTATTTCTATAAATTTCTATTATTTCTATAAATTCTGATTGCTATTCGTAATATCATATTGCAAATATACGCAAATCTCTCATTTGTTATTTAAAAAATCTGCACGGAAATTTATATATGAAATTTGGAAAATTTTTTCTTTTGTTATCTTGAGCGATGAGCTAATTGTTCATAATCTTTGTAATTGAACAAAAATAAAGAGAAGAATAAAATTTATTTATAAATTATAAAGGTGCAGGACAAAGTGTTTGTTGCTATAATACGAACATGTAATTAAATAAGTGTAAGAAACAATATACAGTAACACAAGATCCAAATTTAAATTAAAAAACAAGACTTGAAGAAAGCTATCATTGTGCAGCATTCGGTCATATACAAAAGTGTTGATATTTTTGTTTCACATATAAAATAACACACATCATTTTCTTTGCAGGCATTAACTTCACAAAACGAACTACATATAGCAAGTTTCAATAAATGCGAATAATATTCTTTTTACTCAAATATCTCTATTGAAATAGAAACGTAAAAATACAGTAAATAAAGTCTCATGTTTTGTACAATTAAATATGGCATTATAAAATTTAGTATGTATAAATAGAAGTTAGTATATCTTTTTTAGAATTAATCATTTTTCAAATCCAGGTTACAGTTATTTAGTTGTTGTAATACTAGAAGTATGCTAATAAAAACATATATTTCTCGAGTAAAGAGATTATTGAGAGCTTGTTATATTAAGAGCGATATCTATATTAGACAAAAGAAGCGTTTATATAAATTGTGCGAGATATCGAGATATATCACTCTGATGGTTTAATATGCAGACGGCCATACACAGACGTTTAGTAATCCAACCAAACATCCGACATAAGTTTCCCAGTAGAAGAGATCGATAGAGAAGACAGCAAGCAGAAAATGTATCAAACAGATAACGTCTCTACTGTACAGAATGGCAAAAGATATGAGAATATGTTTGCTCTAGGAGAACGCCATTTTGTTAAGAGACTTACTGCAATTGTGGAACCATTTTTTCCAATCCCACCAGATTCAAAGACTTTACAGAATTCAAGGAACACGTGAACGTAGCCTGCATAAAAGGCCAATGCTACGTAGTTTTTGAACGTGCCTACACCGAGCATGGGAATCTAAACAAAGCGACAAGATCTTCGTTCGTTATGAGAATTGTTCGTTATAATTGTTCTTGTATATGTAAATGCCTACATATATATACACAAACTGATAATTATGTCTCTCGATACCATTGCCATAATAATATCGTTCTGGATGGGCTTAGTTCTATCTGTGGTCGTATTTACTGTAAGCATGTACAAATAGAACTTATCTCTCATTGCAATAAAACTGCAAGATTGTAAGGCACGAGGGAGCAGCTGATTTGAGTAAGATAAGTTGAATGTTAAAGATCTCGCTCTAATGTTATAGTTTTCAATGTGAAAGAAAATCAGTTTTTTGTTATATCTAATATGTGCAGGTTTTGCAGACTCAGTGTTTTATCTGTATAGGCAAATGTGCTTATTATATTTTCTTCAGAAGCGTAGTGTGAAAAAGAATATAATGTATATATGCTACAAATAAGAAATTCAAAATTTCCTAATATTTATCTGCGTTAGATCCTTTATACAAAAACTTTATACATAATTTATAGACTTAAAATTCTTCAACTATTTGACAAAAATTCCTAATTTGAAATTGTTTCAAAAGAGAGTATTATTATGTATTTATAAAAAAGCAGATGCGATCAAGATCGAGATTTTCATCATAAATATAATATCAAAAGGCGATCATAAGATTTTTCATCATAAATATAACATCAAAAGGCGAACATAAAAGCTAATTTTACATTGAAAAATTTTTACAGTTGTATTTTTAAAATACATTAAAACATTAATAACTTGCTGAAAACTTGGAAAATATGAATTTACATATGAAAGAAGTATAATTATCAGTCATATAATGATATATACAATTCATATATATATATACAATTCATTATAAGAGTTGTAGGATATGGAGGTATTGAAAACAAGAGTATAAGGGGGCATAATTTAGTTGGGAATATAGAAGTAAAAATGCGTGTTAAAATCAATCAATATTTTGCAGTAAAGAAGTAATCTCAGCGCCGCTCCTCATGCCATGCTGCTCCCATTTCTGCATGTTCAATAAAAGATTCTAGTTAACAGACTTACAGCCACAGTGGAACCATTCTTGCCCACTCCTCCGGTGAAAATCACCGAAAATATGGAATATAAATTTGCCAGTGCACACACCACTGTCATAACTCCTAATAAATACTTAAACATAAAACCATCTAAGAATGGTATCTGCAAAAAATCATTAAATGACATTAAATGACATTATATGTATATATGTACAATGATATTGTTTCATTAAGTTTTTATCATGAAATCACAATAAAATCTTTCAAGGCAAAAATTATTTGTATAATTTTTAAGCACAGCACAAAGTATACGGAAAAAACTGTGCAGCGATGATTATGCCGAAAAAAAAAATTCACAATTACTGTGCACGCGCTAATCATCGCTGTCCAAACAGCGATCATCATTGCAGTAATTGTTACTGTGCAATGAAAATTTTTCTCGGTACAGTAATCGGCGCTGCGCGATTCAGCGATCATCTCTTCAGCGCTGCACAGTTTTTTTTTCGCGTATAATCTTTTATAATGTTGTAATATATATATTTCAATTTGTGTGTGTATGTGTATATGTATAAAAAATATATGAAATGTAAATTACACAAAAAATTAAATTTTAGAGTGTAATAGTATACATTATATTCAATTTCCGTCACTGAGAATTTTGTTCAAATAAAGAACATTAGTAGTATAGACTAGTAAATTAACTTAATTTACATGCTGAGCAGATTTAATAAAAATGACATTGAAAAGATTATGTTATTTATAATAATATAATCTATATTTTATAGAAATGTAGTAGATTTACTACACTTTTTATATAGATTTTATAATGACATAAATTTATAGGCTATCAAAATTACTTACCATAAAATCTAAAACCCATAGCAACATAAGCAAAATTTTATCATTTTGCTTGCACTATGTATTACATTTTTAAAATACAAATTACAATTTCGAGCTATTTAATTTTATCTTTAACAAATATTGTCATAAATCATTTGTGTAAAAACTGTAGTGCAAGCAGTTACATAAGCATATATATAATGTGTGGCATATATATAAATGAATAAGCATATATATAAATGAATACTTCAACAATTTAGAATAATAATGTGATTATTTAAAAAAAAAAAAAAACAAGTAAAGCAGAATATAGTATTCATGTTTATCAAACTGCAGCCATGCAAAAAATTAAAATTAAATAAATAAATAAACGATTATTAAAAGAAAAAGATCATAAAACGTGTTAAATTGCTACAAGATATTTTTGCTATGTAAAATGTAGAAAGGATAATTCAGGATAATTAAAAACAATACAACCTCTATCATCCAGATTTGTGGGCCAAAGATTGCAGAAATCAGATGAATAGTTATGATTGTAAACTGTGCTTCTGTTACATCCACTTTACCAAATCTCAAGGAACCTATTAAAACGATACTTTAAGACGATATTTTAAATAAAGTTTTAAATAATGCACTGTATTGTTTTATTTTTATACAAATTTTTTTGTTTTTGATTTTATACCTGAAACATAGGTTTGCCAATGAGCGCAGTAGAAAAGCGTCATTGCACAGAAACACTGGAAAAACATCCACGTTGGGTAATGTCCTAATTGTACAGCTATACACGCTGACAAAGCTACAAACACTGAAAAGAAAATAAATATCAGAAATTAAAATGTTTCTAATACATGAAGGACAGTGCAGTTACCTGTTGATATTGAATCACATCCATGATCAAACAATTCGCCCAATGGTGTAGACGTGCCAGTTCTCCTGGCTTGTTTACCATCGATAGCATCTAAACTCTGATATATAAACAGACCAAGTGCACATAAAAAACATGCCCACCTAGGTGCCTGAAAAAACAATAGCCAATTTTATTGTAATTATAGTATACTTTACTATATTATATAGAATTCAGTGTCAAGGCTTTTCATATAAAAATACATTTGTTCAATCGCTTTAAAGTCAAGGTATATTTGAAAACAATTGTGCATAGATTAGCATCCAGATTTATTTTTACATCAATAATAGAGTTATATGGATGAATCATAGATTTGTATGATATTGCATTTTCTAGTAACAATACTTCTTCAGTTAAAAAATTGATTCCTTGATGAGATTCAATACTAAAAACAATAATAAGACAATAATGTCTTTTATCTTGATTATAATATTATTGATTATGCAAGATTTGTTCAATAAATCAATCAAATTTAAAAATAATTTCAAATGCATTAATCCTTGAATGAAAATATCCTTGAGAATAAAAATATTATCCTCTCAGTCTTTTATTAAAATTTCTTTTTTTTTTAATTTATGTTCTTGTTATTTACTATTTTTAAAAATATTATTCTGCCTTAGTTAAAAAAATTCAAATTATAAAATAATACAAAACAATTGTTTAAAGACAACAGAGTACAACACAGTATGTGTTCTGATTATAACATCATGTTTTATTATAATTAACATATCAGAAATGTTAGAAAATTCTTAAATTAAGAATTTTTTTTAAAGATTTTGTCTGTAACAGCTAATAAAAGAGCTTTCATGTGATAAAAAAATTTCACTTGCACGAAATTTGAATATCAAAGAGTTACTATGAAATATTTCAAGTCAAACATAAATAAAATTATTATAGCAGAAAGTTTTTTAATTAATTTTTAAGTATATAGATGATTTGAAGGTATAGAAATCAATAAAGGATATTCAGAACATTCTAAAAAATTATAATTTTATAGTTATATATTGTAAATTATATATCACTAATTATAATTTTATAGTTATATATTGTAAATTATATATCACTAATTATAATTTTATAATTATATGTTAGTTATAAATTTACATCAGTTATCCTTGAAATAAAGAATGTGAAAATAATGAATTTCAAAACTTCTTTAGGCAATATCTTTTTTTCTTTTTTTTGAATAAAGTTTTAAAGAAAATTATACCTACAAAGTGCTATGGCTACTTCTATTCACTTAAAGGTTACATAAAAAATTATTTTTTTTTCGTGATAAGAAAAATGTGCGTCACAGAGATACGGTGATGTTCAAGAAGAACGAAGAAAGACGTGTCTTATGAAGAAACAGGTTAGACAAGTTAGAAGCTTCTAATATCAGGCTTACCTCGGCCCTCGCGTCCGGGCTATAATAGACAAGGATCAGGGTGGTGACGATGTTGACAATCAGGCCGAGCACGGTGATGAGATTGGGTGCGAGCCAAAGCGGCACCTTGCTGACCAGCCAGTCCCACCATGGTTGCAGGAGGCCGTCGAGGATGCTATTGCTCGTGCAGCTATACTTGTGCTCACTGAGCCGTTTCAGCTGGCCGGACGACAACAGTCTGTCTTTATAAAACTGCATGCTTCTTCGGGCCGCACACGTCACTCCGACGCTGTGTCACCGAACTGTGGACGCCAAGGGTAATAGCAGGAAGGCAAGAAAGAAGATGGGGAAACCGTAAGGTCGATGGGATTGGACTGCGATCGTTTCTGCGGAGACGCGACGTCGACGCGATACACTACCGAGATCACCCGCGACGGAACGGTCAAACATAACAAGCGACCGTCGCGTTACGCGTACGACATTTCTGCGTGCAAGTCTACATAAGTCCCACGCAGTCCCATAAATCCCACGATATTGTCACGACCGGAAACTGACTGACCGGCCACCAGTGACGGCAATAGGTCTAGTTTCCATCGAGGGTTTAAACCAGTTCAGAATATAAGAACCAATCAACTACAGTCAAGTATTCCCCTGTTACAGTCGAACAACAGGGAAATACTCGATTATAGTTGATTGGTTCTTATATTTTGATCCGGTTTAAATCCTCGATGAAAACTAGGCCAGTGTCGGTAGTGACGCGTGCGCGCAGTGTTCGAACGATCTCCTCAGGGACTGCGTTCCATTTCACGCATGTTGCATTATTTATTCATCGAATGTTAAACAAGAATAAATAATGCATCATGCGCATCATGCGTGAAACAGAACGCAGAGTCTTCTCGAGCTGTCTCAAGGCTGTTTTCCAAAATTGAATTGTTGCCAGCGCTGAAAATCTACAATTTACGTATACTATACATTTACGTATACTATACGTAAATGTTTTAAGTTAGACATATTGGCCCGTATTCAGAACGCGCTTAAAATGATATTAGCGCACTAACATGCTATAATTTACGTTACGCATACTATAGACGCATTTCAGAGATGAAAGTGCACTTTTATCGATAAAAATGCGTTCTGAATACGGACCATTAATTATAACAATCATAAAACTAATTTTTTTTCTTTGTGTTGCTTTATTAGACATATTAATTGTAACAATCATAAAACTAATTTCTTTTTTCTGTGTTGCTTTATTCAATTTGCATATTTTACATAGCATAATGTTTACATAAAAAAAATTCGTGTAAATTTAACATAAATAATACGTAAAAATGTAAACGTAATAATTTTTAGTAATTATTTAGAATAACCTTCCTCACCTCAAATCTTAATAAAAATATACTCATTCGACATGTTTTCACTCGAAACGAAAGAATTTGCCAAAAAAAAAAAAAAAAACGCGGCGGTCGACCTCGTAAATCGAGTTATTAAGAATCAACGCAATGCTGCAAATGTTTTGAAACGGTTTTTAATTGGTCATCAAACGCTTCAAAGCATTTGTAGCGAGACTTTGACCACAGCCTAAGATATCTCGTTTCGATACAGTTCTGTTGTATACGTTCTGCATTAATTATACAAATTCACTACTTTAAATACACAAATTCACTGCTTTAAAAACGCAAATTCATTGCTTTAAAAATATATTTACTGCTTTAAAAACACAAATTCACTGCTTTAAAAAACACAAATTCACTATTAATGTAAAGAATTTAAATTGAATGTAAAGAAAATGTGCTTAAAGCAGTGAATTTGTGTTTTTAAAGTAGTGAATTTTTTTAAAATAGTGAATTTGGGTAATTAATGCAGAACATAGCGCTGTATATTGAATTGGAATGACAGATATCTTAAAACCTCTAAAGTTTCCAACTTTGGGAGCTTTCCAGCAAGAGACATAAATTGACACAAGAGCCATTTTATCCTTGTTCAATAATCAGTAAGAAACAAAGACGAAATGACTCTTAATAACTCGATTAGGCCGATCACTGCGTTTTTTCGTTTTGAGTGAAAACACGTCGAATAAATATATTTTTATTAAGATTGGAGCGGAGGGTTATTCTAAATAATTACCTAATTTTTTAATAAAATCACGTCGCAAAATGTAAACAATCAGCCTTTGAAAATTCCCGCCAGGCAATTTTATCGTCCAAAAACATGTGGCCCGAAAATAAAAAATATCGAAAATATCAAGAAAACTTTTTTCAATTAATTACGATTCAATTAATTATGATTATTTTCATATATTAGACAACCTTTTGTCAGAAACAAGTTGTTCTGCAAAAAGTTGATTGCCAACATTGGTTTCATTCGCATTTTCCAATCACCAGTCTATCTGTAGTTTTCTATCGTCGCACGTCGTAGTTCGTATCGCGATGACAACGTTGTTTCATTTATCAAGATTTCTTAATTACGCGGCGAGTAATTGTCTGAGAAGAGTAGCATCGGCTGTAATTTGCAAACAATATTATCCTGGTACGTAATTAGAAATTATAATGTGCAAAAATCACGCAGCAATATAATATAACCTCTCTTTTGAGTTATGCAAACATAATCTTCTTTCTATCCGTTATACTCTAAAGACCGTATTCGGAACACGCTTTTATCTCTGAAATTTTATAATATGCGTAACGTAAAGTATGTTAGCGCGCTAACATTGCTAAACGTATTCTGAATATGGACCTTAGAGTGTAACGAATAGATAGAAAGGAGGTTATGTTTGCCTAAGAATTTTATTTTTAAAGATTGATAAAATAAGATCATTTTATTATATTAAAATTTTACAAAAACCTAATAAAAAAGTTCACAAAACTTAAAGAATTTTATATTTAAATTCCGAAATAAAGTGCCTGAAATCATCTAGTAAAGTTTTACAAAATATTGAGCTTTCATTAAATAAAAATTTTAATATTAAATAAATTTTAATAAATCTAACATAGCACTACACTGAGTCGAAATGATAGATATTTTAATCTCTAAAGTCTTCAACTTTAATGCTTAATAATCTAATAAAATTAGGTAAATAAATTTTATAATAAATCTATTAATGCAATTTTAATATAAATTCAGAGAGACGTAGACACGAAATCAGACTTTGTATAATATAACATATTGAAAAATAATCTTTTGTTTCAGCATTAAGATTATGGGAAATACCAATAGCAGAATATCGAACAGTTAAATCACCATGGATGAGGCCTATCCCAGATTACCAAACGGAAGTACAGGAATGGAATGAAGAGAAAGAGAAAATATGCATTGGTAAAATATGCATATTTTGTTAACTTATTCTATAAGCATGTATAAACTTCAATTTTTATGAATAAATTCTAACGAATAACATTTTGTCTTGTTCATAGATGTAACAAACGAAATCAACAATCAGATCGCAACAGACAGTATCGGCCGTATGTTCGCAGTTGTCCAAGTATGTGGAAAACAATTTAAGATAACAGAACATGATATTATAATTATTGAGGGATTCTGGCCACCGAACATAGGTGATCAACTAAAACTGGAAAAAGTGTTGCTGGTTGGCAGTAAAGATTTCACTCTCATAGGCAGACCAATTTTGAATAGAGAATTGGTTTCAATCGATGCAACAGTTATAGAAAAGACTTTATCCCATACAAAAACTCGCTTTAGGTTTCGACCGAGGAAACAGTATCGCCGTATAAACTGTAAGATACTTTTAAAGAGATATTTTCGTTTCACTCCTCAAGTCTTATTTATATTAATGAGCTCAACGTTTTGTTTTTCAGTCTACAGAATACAACATACAATGCTACGGATTAACTCTATAAATATAAACGGAAACATCAATGAGAAGAAAGAAGTAGAGGGATTAGACAGAGTGTATTAATGATATAACATATGTATGTATGTGTATATATATATATATATATA